AATGTGCATGTTAACATGTCAATGTGAACATTCACATTGTTAACGGGCCAGATCGGGCCCGCCGCGGACAGGTTTCGCGCCGCCACGGGCTGGGGGCCAATTTTACACTCCTATTAATGTGAATGTTAACATGTCAATGTGAATATTCACATTGTTAACGGGCCGGACCGAGCCCGCCCCGGGCCGCCCATGGGCCGCGGGCAGGTTTCGCGCCGCCACGGGACCGGGGCCAATTTTACACTCCTATTAATGTGAATGTTAACATGTCAATGTGAATATTCACATTGTTAACGGGCCGGACCGAGCCCGCCCCGGGCCGCCCATGGGCCGCGGGCAGGTTTCGCGCCGCCACGGGACGGGGGCCAATTTTACACTCCTATTAATGTGAATGTTAACATGTCAATGTGAATATTCACATTGTCAACGGGCCGGACCGGGCCGAGTCGGACCCGGCCTGGGCTGCTGTCTAGTTTTATACTCTTATCAATGTGAATGTTAACATGTTAATGTGAACATTCACATTGTCAACAGGCCGGGCCGGGCCCGCCCATGGGCCGTGGGCGGGTTTCGGGGAGTTACGAGGCGCGGGCTAATTTTACACTCCTATCAATGTGAATGTTAACTGGTCAATGTGAATATTCACATTGTCAACGGGCCGGGCCGGGCCCGCCCCGGGCTACGGGCGGGCTTTTGGCCGACCATGGGCCGCGGCCCAATTTTATAATCTTATCAATGTGAATTTTAACATGTCAATGCGAATATTCACATTGTCAACGGGCCGGGCCCGCCCTGGCTCGCGGGCGGGTTTCGGGCCGCCCACGGGCCAATTTACATTCCTACAAATGTGAATTTTAAAATATAACTGTTCACATCATTAAATTGCTAATCGTTGAAAAAATATTTATAAGGGTGTAAAATTAAATATAAGGGCATAAGTGTCTAAGAAAATAGTGTAAATCAAGAAAATGGACTTTATGGAATAAAACTATACATACATGGGACTAAATGGGTTAAAAAAATCCTTCATGGACTTCTTGGGTTAAAACACTTCTAAATTGGATTTATCAATAAAAATCCCGAGAATGTAATTATGATTGATTACAGGCTAAGTGTGAATGAGTAAAAGGTAGACGGATCATTCATGACATGTGTTATTAGAGTAATATCATATAAATATAAATTAATATATTTCATACAAAACACTCGACAAAAATGATGTGACATTGTCATTGTTGTAAATAAAGTCATCTTTAATGGTGTTTTGTTTTGAAGTGAAATGTTTTCAATAAATCACATCATTATGTATAAAAATTATATATAATTTTTTTTGTTTGTATAAAGCACTCTTAACTTAATTATTTAATTTCAAGGAGTTTCATTTTAAAGGGACAAAGAATAAGGGATTGGCTATTGCTTTTTAGCTTCTTTTTTCTTGCTCTTTTTTTTCTTTTTCTTTTTCTTCTTTTTTTTCCTTCAACTTTTCACTTTTAAATCTTAATAGACTAGAAGTACCTAAATTTTTTTTTAAAAATTTTTAGAAGTCTATTAAAACCCAATTTTTTTTGTCTTTTTTTGTCATTAGTGTTTTTTTTTTTTTTTTTACATCCGTCTAGGACTTGAAAAGTAAGAATTTAAAAATAAAAAAAAATTATAAAAAAAATTGATTTTTTTATGACTGTTGCCAAACAAACAACAAGGCGTTATACAATTTGTAATAAAAAATTTTTTTTTGACAGAATAATATTTTATGACATCATTAATAAAGTTCATTTTTTTAGGTCCTTCAACAAAGTTCATTGAACCATGTCAGCCATGACATGGAAACCATGTTAGAGTTTTGTACGCAACATCCTCACTCCCTCTAAGTCTGTCAATTTCACCAGTGAAAAGCAGCAAATTACCCATCCTTTTACTGGTGTTTGATGATTATAAGATTTTTTTTTAGGAGTAGACTGGATTATGAACCCTAACCATTAAAAAACAAGATAACAAAATGCCTTTCTATTTTGTTTTATTCTTGAAAAGGGGGAGGGGACCTTTTTTTGAACTGACAAGGAATAATGGATTGTTATCAAATGCTGCTTTTTTGCATAATGGTAGTACGGTTTTTATCAATCATGTGGTCCTCTTAGAGAGAGAGAGAGAGAGATGCATAGCCAATAGTTGAGGGCTGTGTCTATTTGGAGGTGTTTGTTTGGAGTGATTAAAGTGAAGGGTAAGATTTCATATCTATTGTATGTGATAGTCTGATATTTGATTAAAAAAATATAAGTTAGACTAATAATTTGACCGGATTATCAATATCTTATTTATGAAATTATTGTGTCCCATGAGAGTTGTAGGATAAAAAAGGTGGGAGAGCTCCTCCAGATTAGAAGGTTAAAATGACATTTTTGGCTCACAATTTTTTATTTATATTATTTTTAATTATACTTAGTAAAGTAAAATAAAATTTAAAAATCTTAACTAAAAATTGAATTAAATTAATAGTTCGATAGATTATAATCCCCCTTTAAAATTTTAATTTATTCAATTTATTTAATTAAAAATAAAATTAAAAGTTCAATTTTTTGAAAAGTTCAAATTGAAATAAAAAAAAAAACTCAACTAAAAATTAAAATAAATTTATACAATTTTTATTGATGTTCTATTTATTTAAATTTTTAAAAGTTTTAGTAAAAAAATTAAATAAAATAGGATACACATCAGATTCAATAGAATAATCCAATCCAAACATCAATCTCATGACTAAATAAACATAGGATTCAATAGAATAATTCAATTCAGACATCTAAGCACGTGACTAAACAAACAAAGAATACAAATCCAGTTCAATCAAATAGTCTGGAGACAATATATCCCAGCATTAACAGTACAGTGAATTACAATCCCCTATCCATTCCATTCAAACAAACACATCCTGTGTTTTGGTTTTGAGATTTTAAAAATAATTTTTGAATTTTGAATTCATATTTTTAAATTTTTTAACATACATCTAATCTAAATCTAGATGTATTTAAAAATTAAATATTTATGAATTTTTTTTTAAGAAATCAATAAATATAAAAATGCACTGAAGTTTCTTATTTTTAGTATTTAGTGAATTTTTTAAAGATTTTTTTTATAAATTTTATACTTTTTAAATATATTTAGATTAAGTGAATCTAAAGAGAGAGAAAATTGATTAAAATATTGTAAAGTTCATTAAAAAAATACGAATTGAAAATTGAATTTTTTTAAAAAAAAAATCCAAAATCAAACCAAAGTAATTTTTAGTAGATGAACTTTGGGAAATTGTGTGTACAAATAGCAACTCCCTATGGACATGAAAAATTAGTTAAAGGAACAAGAAAAAAGGAAAACAAAATACATACTTTTCCATCAATCATTCAATTACAAGACAGTTTATGTATAAAACAATTTGAACTTTCTCATAATGCACAATCTTTTACTTTTTACGACAAATAATTTAAGAAAAAATAGTTACCCAAAAATTCAGAGATATTAGACACAATCCAATTTCAAGATTAAAAAAAACATACTATATGCAACAATGTTTTTGGCTTTTCAGCATGGAAGCCCGGAAATTATTCTGAGATTGTAAGCTAAAATGTTTGAATAATCTGACAAGGCAAACAATCATAAATCTTCATCAGAATGTACCTCAACAAGAATCTCTATATATGCATAATGCAAATCCATATCTTCATCTAGCCCACAACACGGAATCGATTTCATTCCTGGCCGACTTGTATAACTCCAGCCTCCTCGCACATTGCTGCCTCCGCTCCATTAATGCTGGATCTTCATCGAGTAATTGTGCCAGATGCCGGCCCTACACGATAATCATAACATTAACTCATCAGTAAAATAGATTGTCTACAAAATAAGCCTGTCAACAGATTCGAATATGATCTGATCCAAAAAATCAAAATCTGTTGACAAATATCTGATCTAATAATCCGATAAAATTCAAATTGGATTGATCCAATCATTGTCGGATCGAATTTGGATAAGCCCCGTCCAATCTGATTTTCATATTTCAAATTTTGCATGTATATATACGACTATTATATTTAAAAAAACAATGGGCAATAACTAAATAATTTTTTTATAAAAAAATGATATTCAAATTTAATAAAATATACATAATAAATCGGGCCGGATCGGTTTCATGTTCGGCTGGGCTCTTATCGGATTCGGCGTACTCAGATCGGGTTTGTATTCAAGTTATTTTAGAATTGGATTCAGATCAGATTATGCAAGATCCGGTCAAAATCCAATATTAGCAGATGAACACTCCACGAATTCAAAAAATAGATGAAATTGGAAGGAAGATATGCCAAAATTGTTATGTCCACATTGAACCTAATCATCGGATTACCTGCTTTTTTCCTACTTGTGTATAGAAGTGATCGAGTAAAGACTGCTTTGCCTCCCGAATTTGACAAAACACGACAGCCTTCGGAATGGTATTCTTGAGTGTCTCACACACCATCACAACATAAGAGGAAACATTTGCAGCTATCCTCCGGAAGTGATCCTCCGTGTAGCGGTCAACAGAGGGGACAGCTGGATTCCCTCCCTTCTCAGCTTCCTGAGGGAGTTTGCGGAAAAAATCCACAGTAAGGTACGACGATTCCATGTCCACCATTCGCAATACCGTCTTTTTACTGTCATCGCGAAACCTCTCCAATGCTTCGTTGGCAGCTGCTGCTATGTCCACTTGAAGAGTTGGAAAACGTTTCAACTCCTGTGCATTGCAAAACATAAAATTACATGTTATTAGATCCTAGCATTATGGAAAAGTAATATATTAGTTTCCAGATATTGAACCTGAGTTTCTCCAATTGACTTTCTCACAAGCTCCTTCAAAATGAAGTGGACCTACAATACCAATTAATGGTTTTCAGCACATTTTCCATTCCTAGGAGCAACAAGGGGATAGAACAAGATAGCAAGTTCTTACGGCATCCACAGAAGCTTCAGCTGGGCCTTTAAAATAATTGAGGGCCCCTTCAATAAGGCGTCGGTAACCGTGCTCAGGTGCAATCAGATGAGGTTGGTATCCAT